AACATCATTGATAACATAAATAATCTGTCAGTAGAGAATAACCTCATGTATCGTCGTTATTCAATAAAATCCCCCTAATGGAAACAGTGGAGTTTACTTGGAATGAACTAACAGAGAGGTACATAGAGACCTTAATTCCCCCATCCGTAATGAACTGTTAATTCTTAGATGTACGATAAATGTCCACAACCGATTTGACAATGAATACTATAGATATATGGATGGTGTAGTCGTTGGATCTTCTCTTGACAGACATTTTTTTTCTTGTAAAATCGGAAAATGAATGAATTAAAGATACAGTCAGCTATTTAACATCTTACTGCCACTACATAGATGATACTCTCATGGTATAAGAAAAGCAACATGAGAAGGATAATTCACTAATTATATTGGATAATATTCATCCATCTATCAATTATTATTATTATGCTAGAATGATTTATTCTGATGAAATCATTTTAGATGAATTGAATAATAATCATAATGTCTAACTTCAATTGACTCATGATCTCAACTGTTGTAATTATTACAATCTCCACAAAACCCCCTCTGATACTAATCAACATGTGCTCACTAGTGACTAGCTTCAAGAAATATATCCTGGAGTTCTAGTGAGAAGCAGTGACCAGTGGAGTTCAACCGGGTCTGTTGTGAGATAGTAACTCACTGATGACAATGGTGGATGTGTCGCTCAATTTCGTGGATTATTTGAAATTAGACATTAACATCTTTGGATACCGGCTCAGTGGTCTAGTTGGTTCAGCGCATGGCGCGAGGCCGATAGGTCATGGGTTCGAATCTCTCAAGGCGGGGTCGTGGATGCTCACTGCTGAGGTAGTCCCACAATGGGGTGAGACGGCCGTCCAGTGTTTCCAGGTTTTCCGTGTTGGTCTAGCTTCAATTGACTCATGATCTCAACTGTTGAAATAGATATCCAATGAAATTTATCAAGGACCATATAAATGAAATGAAAAGAAGATCGAATATGTCTACCATTTTGAAGAAAGTACCGTTCTTGAAGTTGTAATTCCTAAATGACACTACTAAGGAAATTGTAACTCGGTTAACTCAAAGATTAGCATGGCTCCTGCTCAAGGATCACATGCAAGATCGTGGTACGGCCGAGAGTGAGAAGAGTCAACTCTTCCTCTCGAAATGCTCTTACATGACCACGTGCATACAGCCACTCCAAGGGAAGTCCTTCTCACTCCCTTCTCGCACAATGGGTGTTGTTTGAGAAATCGAGAGGACGAAATGCGAATGTTCGGCAATTTAACCGGGTAGATGGCCACGGAGAGTTTACTTATGACAGTTGGAATACCCTGATTCCAAACCAATGATGAATATGGACTCCAGTACCCTGAAGGAACAAATGAAGTATGAATTAATCGTTGGTCACCGGTTACCATGGGAATGCATCTCCTTACTATGCTCCACTACCTTGTGGATCGGACCTTTAGGTCGAAGGCTCTGGGTGTGCCCCACCCCCACCTAAGAAAATCACCTGCTTCGGTTTGGGCAACCAGGCAGTATCCCATCCCTCACATATAACGAATAATTTGTGTGGCGCATATATATTTGTTGCCTCATTGTACCAATGTTTATGTGTTTAAATAAATAAATAACTTTTATGCCAGTGAGTAATTACGACATTCGATTTCCAAAAGTTTCATTAAGAAGGTGTGATAGGTGACATCAACCAACTGAATTATAAATAGATAATGTGAAGATATGTTACACGTCACAAGAGTTGAAAATTCTGTAGTCGATTCTAATATGGTCTTGTGGATGTGCATCACTGGGTAGTTTGTCACTAGTGTACGGAGTTTTTGGAGATTTTCAATTTTTAAAATTTACATTACGGATTAACCTTAATCAAGCAATCATTGATGACCGTGAAGAACTAGGCAGATGTTTCGCTTTGGTATGGATGTCTCAACACTTTTCATCTACAACTCTATTGGGGATCGAACTCGTAAATTGGTAGTAACTATATGTTCATTAGTAACCTGTTTCGAAAGGTAACTTACGGAGTTCTAGTAAGTAATTATGATCAATCGAGCTTAACAATTTCAAATGTGAAGTGGTCACTTACCAGTGGCATTGAAAAATCGTTAAGCGATATAGTAAATTCCCTAAACTTGTAATTATAAACCATTGGGTCCTAACTCTGTAACCTTAAAGTTAAAGTTTAGTTGAAAGACCTGGAGGTTTTGGGTTCAGGATCTAATGGAATTGTGGATGCACACTACCACTGAGAAATCCAATTCTACAACGAAATATCTTTAAAACCCTTCCTGATTTTATAACTATCGTCAGTTCGTGATTTAAATCCGATTTATCAAATAACATTAAGGCAACATAACAGTGTTTAAATTCACAATCTAAGCATTGTGTTTAGCTATTGTTTGACGCTTCTACTAACATATACACTTGCTATATGTTTGTCAAAAGCATACACTTGAATTAGGAAACCGAGAGTGAGTAAAGATCTTTTTATTGATTAGCCAAGCAAAAATTATCAGTACAACACATTTCGAGTCGTGTTGGGTGTCAGATGGTTATCCATTGCAGGCGATCGATGTGGGTTGTGAGATATCGTGAATTGAATAAAGGTAAACATGAACACCATTTGATGCCGGCTCAGTAGACTAAATTTTATTCGTTTGCGCGTGAGACCAGAGGTCGTGGGTCCAAGTTTTACACGCAAGATCGTAGATTCGTGTCGCTGAGGAGTCCAATACTACGATGAAACAGATACGCAGTGCCTCTAGATTTCGAATGTTGGTTTAGCTAAGATAGTCCGGTGATTTGAATTGCTCAAAGTCTGTAAATTCTGCAAACCCCATATACTAATACATCTATCTCCTAGTATGGGACTTTCCAGCAGTGCATATCCACAATCCCTTACATGAGACTCGAACCCAGGACTTTCGGTCTCACACGCAAACGATGGACCTCGAGACCATTGTTTCGCTTAGAAAGTTTGTCAAATTTTCAACCCATAGTGTATTTATGTGTCTTCAGAAAATGAATTCAAATCTTAACTAATACTGTGTATTCGTTCAAATCTCATACTTACCAATGTGCTTAAGTCTACATTGTCCAACTTCTTATTAAGAAAGGTTTATCGAATTGATATAGACGTTGTATACTCTGTAAGGGCTTACTAATACGAATCGTCTACATGCACAGTACTAACACACCACAATAATACTCGCTTCACTGAATACAGTTCAAAAAAATATTTGGGCATAAACTAATGTGAAATAGATTTCAGATTCAGATTTCAGATTTGTGTAGTAAGGACAGAAGGCCTATGGCCTATGTTATTCCTTTTCTAGTATACTTCTGTGAGTGTCCAGTCTTCTCTTGAAAGTGTTAATTGAAGGTGCGGACACCACTGCTTCGGGTAGCAGGTTCCAAGTATTGATGACTCGGTGTGAAAACCTGTATGCCACAAAAATCGAATTTTATCGATCCATTGGGAATGTGGCCATAGTCCAATACTGTGTGCTCTGTTGTGAAGTTATAATTATAAATAAGTTAAGAAAAGTGAACACAAGTTTTTAAACAGTGACTAGTTGACATTCATATTTATTTTCAAATGTTGACAAACGATCCCACCATGGTGTATGCTACTTATATTTGCAGATATAAGTAGTATGTAACATTGGTCAGAAGTCGAATATCTACGAGCAGAAAGTTGAGAAGATTAAAATGAAGAGAAGAGATGAGGAAAACTGAAAACAATCCAGATAACAACAGGAATGAAGGAACGGCGAAGCTTGTAAAAACAACATCGAAGTAGATGTATTTAATGTAAGATTTTCACATTTTACTAAATTACACTGTGATAATGCATGAGACAATAATCTAGTTTCCCCCACCTAAGTGTTCATTCATTATGCCGCTACCATGATATCTACTTTCATAGACAAATATAATCAATCCATAAATTCTACTGTATTTATCTCTTGTTTCCTTACATAATAAAGAATGAGTAGGAAATTATACGAATCATTTTGATCGAGTTTTGTTCACTGAGATGAAGCATTCATGAAGTCTTCTTGATTCTTTTGAACATCGAAAACTTCACAACCAAACAAACAATGCAGCTCATTCAACTAAACTTCACTAAAATGATCCAACTTTAATTACAAATCTTCTGCACCATCTTAAGCATGTGAATCAGTACAGTAGTGATACAAAAACGGTTAGTGGTGAAAATGTAGTTAAATCGTTAGGAATTTCAGGGCACTGACTAAATCACTGAACTATTTGCCATAGTAACTATTCACATATTTTAACAATTTGTTTCTAGTATCTAACCAACTACAATATTCAATAACTCACCTAATATACAGTGACTGTAATGTATTCCCATGAGAAAAAGAGACTATAAACTTTCAATGCAGAAACCATAATGGTGGGTAATACATATTAATAAGAATAACATTTAATTAAAATGTTCAGTCTCTAATTCGAAAAATAAGTTTGCCTTCGATCAACATTATGATTAAATGTATATCTTAAGGTTGAATTCACGAGTCGATCTAAGCTAGGCCATCACTGAAAACTTGGAAGCACTAGACGACCGTTTCGTCCTAGTATGGGACTCCTTAGAAGTGCACATCCATGATTCGAAATTAAGTCCTTCGATCCATAATCTTGCGCAACCTCTCATCGATTGTCTGAGGTAAATAACTATCGCTACCCGGTACAAATTAAACTCTACTGGTCATGACTTCTCACTAGTACTTTAAGAAATCCATCTTGAACCTAGTGACTAGTGAGCATATGATTATTATTATTAGAATGGGAATTTATAAAGATTGTAGTATTTTCACACTTGATAGTGAATGTGTACTGCTGAGGAGTCTCATACTAGAACAAAACCACCGTCCAGTAATCTCAACTTCTTAATAGTGATCTAACATCGATCAATTCATGATCTCAATCCAAAACTTAACAAGAATGTGTACTTTTATTTACCTTACCTGGAAATTTACGTGATCCAGATTTTACAAATCGAAATGATCCATTCGATCGAGGACTTGATGATCGTATAAAATGATCATTATTGTTATTATTATTATTTAAATCGGATTGTATTGTTATTCGACTACCAGAATTCATATTCTTTACATTCTCCTTATGTATAATTGTAATATTATCTGTATTAGGTTTTGTATCACTGACAATATGAGTTACATTAGATGATGGTGATATTGTTGTCATTACTGGTGTTCTCGCTGCGACTGCTGCTGCTGCCGCTGTCGCTGTTGTTGTTGTTGTTGTTGTTGTTGTTGTTGTTATAATATTAGAAGATATTGTTGAACTACTATTCACACTACTAATTACTTTATGATTTTTTATTTTAGATTGTCTCATCCATGCTGGTGCATCATATAATAAATAATCCACTATTGGTGATGATGGTTCCGTAGATTTCATCATGAATTCATTTGATTGTCTATTTGTTATTATTGGTGATAATCTAGATCCTAATTCATTACTATGAATAGTACGTTTAGTGTATGTTTCAATAGTATTATCATTTATATTATTATTATTATTTCCAATATCTTTTGATGATACAATTCTAGGATGAGTTGAAGTGAACAATGGTGTTGATGAGAATAATGATGATGATGGAATAGGTTCTTTAAAATAACTCCTTGTATATCCATCTTGATCAATAATGGGTAATGTAGATTTAGTTGTAATAGTTGGAGTTGTTGATGAATTCATTAAATGACTTGTATATAATTTACTTTCCATTCTACTTGCTTGACTAGCCATTCACTATATAGATGTAGATATATATATAGATATAGATAGATAGATAGATGGATGTATATTTAATTATTCATTCAATAGTAATGATACGAATACTTGTCATTCATTCTGAATAAAAGAATCCATCATTATTATTATTATTATTGTGATGTACATGATCAGTAATACATCTCTATACATCTTTACATCTACATACATTGGCATAGTTACTAATTGTAATGTTTACAGTAGTATTAGTAGTAGTAGTAGTAGTAGTACAGTAGTACAAATGGATGCTGTAAATAGAATAAAGATTTAGAAAGTAGTGATATATATATATAGATAGATATCTGTTACGTAATCCACAATGGTTAACTATTAAAACGTTGATGAAATGAAATGAATTCTATTTCTATAATAATAATAATAAGTAGTATTTGATAATCCGAGAAGAGTTAATGTATGTCATTGTTATATCAAGTGATTATATATTTAGGTTCAATAATAAGATCAAATGAATAGGCGTAGATACAATATACACCATACACCATGCACATACACACACACACACAGACACACAGAGATCTATCTAACTGCACTATGTATAAACATACAAACACAAACACAAAAAAAAACAGAATTTAGTATCTATGATCATCAGATGATATTATAGGTCTAGAATGATCTATATACTTCATAAACTTCAGCTTATTGGTATCGATAATCTTGAACTCATAGTTGTATGTTTTTTTTGTGTTTTCGGGTCTTCACAGTTACACACACACACACACACAATCATAATTCTAATTGGTTATTACAGTTAAAATTCTATTTGTATGTTTGTCCCGAAATTTTTTTTCAAAAATCTCTTCTATTACTTAGTAGTCATGTGAGTTCTATTCAGTATCATTAGGTAACTAATAGAACAATATAAAGAGTACAATGTACTTTTAAATAGTGGTATAATGATTACCACCCCTCGCACAAACACGCACACATACACACACACGCATACATACATGCACGTACACTTATACAAAAGGTGTCATTCATCTGTTTTCTGTACAACAACAACAACAAAAAAAAAACAGTAACTTATTCTAACAATTTTCGTCAGTATTAATAGTTTAGTGTTAGTACTTTACAGTACACCCACAAATAGTTGATACAATCACATTTATTATTGATTGATCAAAAGTAATTTGCACTAATAAATCAATAATGTTGATGAAATTTCGTTTAAAAATTAATTGAACATGATAATGGAATAATAAAGCCTGTTACTTCTCGTGAACGAGCATACGCCGCTCACCAACATTCTGCATCCAACCCTATCCTCAACAATCCTTTCCAGTTCTTTCCAGTTGTTATTCATCTTTTTCATATCTGATTCTATTTCCCGATGTATTGTGTTATTTGGCCATCCTCTTTTGCTCTTCCATTCAGGATTCTATTTTAATGCTTGCCTTGTGATACAGTTCAGTGATTTCCATAATGTATGTCCTATCCGTTGCTAAGGTCTTTTCCTAATTTTTTCTTCATCTAGAAACTGGTTTGCTCTTTCCCACAGAAGGCTGTTACTGATGGTATCTGGCCAATGGATGTGGAGTATCTTCCGTAGACAACTATTTATAAATACTTATACCTTGTTGATGATGGTTGTAATAGTTCTCGAAGTTTCAGTTCCGTACAGTAGATCTGTTTTGACTTTCGTATTAAGGATTCTGACTTTGATATTGGTTGAAAGTTGTTTTGAGTTCCATATGTTCTTCAATTGTAGGAATGCAGCTCTTGCTTTGCGAATCCTCGCCTTTACGTCTGCATTTGATCCTCCTTGTTCATCGCTGATGCGTCCTAGGTACGTGAAGGATTCTACCTCTTCCAGAGCGGCGAGACTATAATTTATGGACGGCCTTTGAACGAATCTTAAGTGACCCTGAGAAATATTAACCAATCATCAACCAGTCAGTATTGAGGAAAAATATATTATAAAAAACCAAAGAAAGTGGATACACTTCTTATACGTGGTTCAAAAACTTGTCAAGGTTAGAAAGAGGTTCAGAGGCTCCAAATTCGTAACGGATATAACAGAGGAACTCATCCATATGACTACAGAATAGTCGGCTCTGGAGTCATGATAAAGACTCAAAAACTCTTTCAGCCTCGACCACATAGCTTCAATATTTATTGTGTGCACTCCGATTGTTGAGTACACAAAATGCCACTTTTGGATAACGACACAATACACATAACCAAGCCTATGTAGGAGTCTGTACGCTCTCTAAACATCCGTATATATTGTAGTACCTGGCTGCAGCCAGTATTACTGGTGCTTTTATTATCCAGTTCGCAATAATTGTCGTAATTTGCCTTAATTAGGAATTATATATGGGGTTTTCATCACGAACTGACATAAGCTATAATGCCAGAGATCTATTTAGTCAAATAGATGAAACGCCTTCGCACCCAAATCCGAGATCTATTATCTTATACCTGATTGATTCGTCCACATATTATAGTCACGCCGTTTTATTTGTTATAGCCGCTCAATTATCATGTATTGTACAAAATTCCCTGTGAACCGATCGTACGTTATCATTAAGCACTGACGTCGGCGCCATGACCTTGAAATCTCTCAAACGCTTCTGATTGTCTCGTCCATCAATTAGAATCTCGCCTCCAGAGCTTCTCCATCAAGTGTGATTGGGTTGGTGTTCTCCATGTTGTATTTAAGGATCTCACTTTTTCCTTTGAGGCCTACTGATACAGAGGCTGGTGCTACACTAGTTGTCTTCATCTACATTTTTTCATGTGTATGGGATCGGAGGGCTAAGTTTTCTGCGAAGTCCGAATTGTCTAATCAGTTATAATTGTCTATGTACTACCTACAAATGTTTAGACATGCTCAAGACATTCTACTGATTTGGTCATCCTATGGTGTTTTAAGTGCCCAATGTCCTGCTTGTGGATTCAGGCAGTCCTAAAAATCAATGGGAAGATTCAAGTAAACAATACTATGTGAACATAATGAAACAGTTCATTTGTCCCAATCTTTAAGCGGGTTTTTTCCTTTTCAATTTGACCTTGTATATTAAAGCGCAAATATGAATATATATATGTCTATATATTCAATGTTCAATTGTGTCTTGTTTATAAACAAACCATGTTCATTTCAACCATTTGATGACATAACAAGTCTCACTCATATGATTCTTAAATTTAATCAATTCATTCATCAACAAATCGATCCGACTACTTTATGTGGATTACACAATGCCTTTGTGACTTTAAAATTTCTGCTTAGTAGTAGTAGTAGTAGTAATAGTCAGTAAATTGATATATATGAAAAAGGTTGTTTACATTCATTGCCAGGTAACAACTAAAATGCAAATTAATGTCGGATTTATCGATTTAGTGCATGGGAGGTATTTAGAGATAGATGTGTGGATAGATAGATAGATAGATAGATAGATAGATAGATAGATAGATAGATAGATAGATAGATAGATAGATAGATAGATAGATAGATAGATAGATAGATAGATAGATAGATAGATAGATAGATAGATAGATAGATAGATAGATAGATAGATAGATAGATAGATAGATAGATAGATAGATAGATAGATAGATAGATAGATAGATAGATAGATAGATAGATAGATAGATAGATAGATAGATAGATAGATAGATAGATAGATAGATAGATAGATAGATAGATAGATAGATAGATAGATAGATAGATAGATAGATAGATAGATAGATAGATAGATAGATAGATAGATAGATAGATAGATAGATAGATAGATAGATAGATAGATAGATAGATAGATAGATAGATAGAGATAGATAGATAGATAGATAGATAGATAGATAGATAGATAGATAGATAGTAGATAGATAGATAGATAGATAGATAGAGATAGATAGATAGATAGATAGATAGATAGATAGATAGATAGATAGATAGATAGATAGATAGATAGATAGATAGATAGATAGATAGATAGATAGATAGATAGATAGATAGATAGATAGATAGATAGATAGATAGATAGATAGATAGATAGATAGATAGATAGATAGATAGATAGATAGATAGATAGATAGATAGATAGATAGATAGATAGATAGATAGATAGATAGATAGATAGATAGATAGATAGATAGATAGATAGATAGATAGATAGATAGATAGGATAGATAGATAGATAGATAGATAGGATAGATAGATAGATAGATAGATAGGATACATAGATAGATAGATAGATAGGATACATAGATAGATAGATAGATAGGATACATAGATAGATAGATAGATAGGATACATAGATAGATAGATAGATAGATAGATAGATAGATAGATAGATAGATAGCATCATTGAAGGAAATCTTATTCCTCATTCATCGAGATTCATTGTTGAAATATTTTCCGACGATGTCAGATTTTCATTGATTTTCTGATTGATATGATGAATAGTATCTTATAAATATGTGGAATTTTTACATTAAAAGATCTTAGAAAACATACCGTCACTATTAAGAATGAAGAAGTTTACACATTGTATTATTTACTTACTTAATTATGCATGTCACCCTTCATGGAGGAGCATAGGCCGCTCACCACCATTCTTCATCCAATTCTGTTCTGGTCAATCCCTTCCAGTTTATATTCCTTCTTTACATGTCTGTTTCCACGGCTTGACGAAGTGTGTTCTTTGGTCTCTTTTCCTTTCGCCTTCAGGATTTAAAGTTAACGCTTGCTTCGTAATGCAGTTTGATGATTTCCTCAATGTATGTCCTATTCACTTCTAACATCTTTTCCCAATTTTCTCTTCATACGAAAATTGGTTTGTTCTCTCACATAGTACGCTGTTTTTGATGGTATTCGGTCAACGGATATCGAGTATCTTGTGTAGACAACTGTCTATAAATACTTGTAGTTCTTTAGTGATTGTTGTGGTATTTCTCGAAGTCCAGGCTCCACACAATAGAACTATGTTGACGTTCGTATTGAAGAATGT